AGGTGCGTCGCGCTTTTTACGTGGCAACGCGTGGTCCGAGTTTCAAGTTTATTTTGTCGCCTTATTTCGTCTAGACATTTATCTTACATCTATAAATAGTCGTTAACCACAATTTTTATATAATTTTTGACCAAAAAGAGCATAGAGCCGTCGTGGAGATCGGTTTTATCTTTTTTTTCCACCAACTTAGTATTTTTATATTTTTTTGTATGATTTGTTGTTTTGCTACCATGTCTATGTGGAGCTAAACTTCACGTTCTAGGGTTGTGGTTCTTTCATGACTATTGTTATTCAGATATTGATTTTGATTTCTTAGTTTATCATATTGGTTTATTTATTCAATCCTGCACTTAATTATTTGATTGCTTGATCACCAATTGAATACTATCTACGAATCTAGAGTTGAACTCGAAAGTGGGAATTCTAGATTGCATATAGGATTAAGTAGAGCAAGTTCTTGAACTTGGGACTCGGGGAACAGATTCGCGGTTAGGATAGACATATACCTAATTGCCTTGCTTGGTTTATTTACAGGAATTATAAATGCGTTCTTGTTGATTCTAACTCCATAGACATATAGGCGTTAGGTTAGCTTGAATAGGCGAGTAAGAACTCGACAGATTCTTATGAGCAATATTAACCCTGTCAACCAATAAACTAGATAAATTGGTTAGTCAATTCAATTGAAGAATAGAATAGGAATGTTAGATAGCCCATAACCCTAGATCGTTTTCATTACATTGATATCATAAAAATCTGCTCTTTTTCTGTCCAAAGTTCATTATTTGTTTTTATTTATTTTAATTAGTTTAGAATCAAATATTTCTAGGTTTAATTCTTGTTTAGATAATTAGGATAGTCTAATTTAGTTAATAGTTAATCACAAGTCCTCGTGGGATCGGCATCCGACTTTTAGTCACTTTATTACTTGACGACTGCGTATACTTGCGTGTGCGTTTGTCCGCAACATAAAGATTAAGCATGGATATAATGTTAAGGGTTCGTTTGGTAGGGGGCATAAGAATAGTGCGGAATAAGGTATATTAATGTCATGATTTTCTATGCATTACTTAAACATAGAATAATACCAAGTATAATGTATAATTAATGCAAGTATTAGTTATACACAGGTTGAAAAAATATACCAAACAAGGTATTAGTAATGCACAAAGCTAATGCTTGCATTATTTTTCCTAATACCTCCTACCAAACGACCCCTAAATGTTCAGAGTATTATTGACTTCTTGACCCTACTTATGATTCTTTTAGAAAAGGTTTGGCGCAAAACTAGAAAACGACTTTAACAGTATCAACAATCTGTACACAGCCTATATATGAAAATATTAAATGTAATACCACCAGCCATGTTCAAGTAGTAACATGTTTCTTTTGTGTCTCTTGGATAACAATATAATAGAAAATTTAATGGACAGCCCAACGCTGGATGAAACTACAGAAAAAACCTTAACAGTTTTATAGGAAGAGTGTTTTTCGAGGGAGCTGGATTTCTTTTGAATGCAATCTAGATACCGATTTGCTCTTCCACATGTGAATGTTAGTAATGCACATGGAGATAGCTATCAATATTTGCAAGATGGCTTTCTGTTTTTTTTTTTCTTTTGGTGTAGGGTATACTATGGTAGTAGCATTTGACGCTAGTACGTATATGCATCTTTTTGGGATATATACTACTCCATTAATTATAGATTTGGTTTAGATATAGTATTTATTAAGATATAATTGGTCATTTAATTTTAATAAAGTTTTAAATAGATCATATATCAGTCTGTGTCCTTTGCTTATATAGAAGATGATTTAGTGTATAGAGTATAGATTATACACGGAAGATTAAATCATCGTTCCTTACAAGTATAAAGTTTGAGTTCACAATCTAATGATGGAATTGGATAAATCAGGAATGATTGTAGCACAAGATTAAATATAATTTATCTTGATTATGGGAATGGTTTAATTCCAACTTCTTGTGCTAGTACATTTTGTATGTATTGAACGGACCAAGTAGAGATAAGTATTTTATACTGACTTAATAAAATGAACACTCTAGCCATTGAATGTACTTATACTCTTAATCTTGATATAATTATTATTAGCTATGTACATTATTATTGTTTTGATTTATTAAAAGGCGAGATTCTTTCGTGGGTCAATATGCCTAGTAAATTGGGTTATAATAATAATAATAATAATGTACATTGGCAAAGTAATAGTTAGTTGATGGAATCCATATCTTGGTTTAGAGATTGATGATACACCTTTATGAAAGATATAAGTTTTCATGTGTAAACCCGGCCGGTGAATTTTGTATCCGACACATGAAATAAGTTAAGCGAAAGTCTAAAGGAAATAATCAATTCATTAAATCGTCAGTAATTTAATTTAATTGGTTAGTATCTGAATCTTAACATGAGGAGTTAAATAAGATTTAATGGATCAATTTTGAAATTGAATAAGGAGTGAAATTGCGAATTTTTAGTGGAATAATTCGTAATTAATTATGGTGGATATTAATTTCGAAAATTAGAAATTAATTCCATAATTGGAGCCTTGTTAATTAAATTATGTGGTCCCTACTGTGCCTAAATAATAGGAAATAAAGGAATCGTTTTTCTGGTGGAAAGAAAACCTAACAGATTTTGGAAAAGGGTTTTAACCCTTAAAACTTGTGCTATAAATACATAAGATTTTTCACCTAGAGAAAGAAGAGGGGGAGAGGGTGGCCGAATTTTTTAGCCATTTTCTTAGAAAATTTCGCCCACACGAAATTGCTATTTTCGGATATTATTTGGGTAACACAGTAGAAGACCGTGGAACGTTCGGAGATCGTGATCGTGCGGGTGGTGGAGATTTCAACGAGACGATGTGAAATTGAAGGCTCAAATGACTAAAGAGTCGTGTTCACACTTCAAGAGGTAACCCGTGAAATCCCGTTTATGCTAGTTGTCTAGATTACATGTGATTTTGATACTGAGAATTCTTCCGCTGCATATAATAATCCATCACATCTCGCTTGAACAGAGGCGGAAGATTTTGAGTTTATTGATTCTGGATTCTAGAAAAATAAATTACTAGGTTCTCGGATAAATTATTTATACGGAAAAGGTCTAAATATGGCCTTGTACTATACGAAATTGAGCACATTTATCCTTCGTTAATACTTCAGCCCATATATGCCCTTACCATCACATAATTGGTCCATATATGTCCTTACCGTCACATAGTTGGTCCATATATGCCCTTTTCGAAACGGAATCCACCCAAACTAATTAGCTCTTTCTTTAATTGTATTAAAGTGTATTACAAACACTATCTCCTTTTTATTAGTACTTTTTTTTCGTTATCTTTCTCTTTTCTTTCTTCGTTTTTCTTTTTCTTCTCTCTTTTTTTCCTTTTCCTTTCTCCCATATCCGATTTCCTTCATTGCCGATGCTTTCACCAATTTCACGTGATTTTATTCCTAAAAATCAAACCTACACCACCAAAACCTTCCAAGCGAGAAGGCTCTGGTTCTTCTGAAAAGAAGGAGATGAAAATAGTTGGAGAAGTTTTTTTTGGTGATTTTAATTTGATGAAGGCAGGATATGGTTATTCAATTTTAATGGTATTGTTCACCGTGGAGCTTCAGATCTGAAGGGAACAAGACCTTCAAAATCTGAATAACCATATCCTACCTTCATCAAATTAACACCACCGAAAAATTTCTCTGATAATTTTCATATCCTTCAGGTCAGAAGAACTTGTGGGTTTTGTGATAGTAAAATTAGCAGAAATTCATGAGTTTCGTCAAATTAAATTGGTGACGAAAATTGAAAAGGCATCAGCAATGGAGGAACTCGGATATGGGAGAAAGAAAAAGGAAAAAAAGAGAAGAAAAGAAAAAAGAAGAAAGAAAAGAGAAAGGTAAAGAAAAAAAAAGTACTAATAAAAAGGAAATTGTGTTTGTAATACATTTTAGTACAAGTAACGAAAGAGCTGATTAGTTTGGGTGGACTCCGTTTTAAAAAGGGCATATATGAACCAACTATATGACGGTAAGGGCATATATGAGCTAAAGAATTAACGAAGGGCAAATGTGCTCAATTTGATATACACATATAATGTATGAATCAAAGCTACTGAATTCCACGGATCTCATAAATGAAACTGTAGCTTCGCCCCCGTGCTAGACATATATTAGCACAGTTCGGACAACACAACACTCAATCTATCAACTATACCGGCATATGTGGGCCAGCTAGGAGAATACTCATTCCAATCTATTCAGATCCATTTCATTTTAATACTATATAGGTGTTCTTAATCTCACATTATCCCTAATTAAACGGACGTATTCAATGCTTAAATAATAAAGTAGTGAGGTGATATATCGCGATGCCTTCAAGTTAGTAAAGAAGACTTGTCCTTAAATTCTCCTTTTATGCCTTTGGTGGACTATTTTCTTAAATTTCTGGTGATAGTAGGTGGTGTAAATTGTGCGAATGATTCGTTGAAATAAACAAATAAATTTGAAATAAATTATAGGTATTTGTCTATAAATTATTTTATTAAAGGTAAAAAGAAAAAAAATATAAATTATTTCTAAATATATAAAGACTTTTTCTTGGCTAACTAAAAAAAGTCACTTCAAATAAGAGAAAGCAAATATTTTCTAAGTTACTACTCCTATTCGTTTAATCTAATGTTGCGACTTGGATCTTTGTGCCACATCGATACTTCACAAAGCACGGGCTAGCCAGTTTTCGGATTGATAATTAAAAAATAATCAGCGTTTGCAAAGTCGTTGAGAAATAGCCACTATTTTACTACAACACGAAAAGTTCCAGCATAATATACTGGAAGTTCACATGTAAAAAATTCCAACTCCAATATATTATGCATGAATATTTTCCGAATTTTCAACAATATTTTCGTTCAAATTTATCTTTACATGGAAAATGACTAAATTTCATATACTTTAAAATTATGGCTATTTTTCAATTACGTACTTGTGAATCTGGCTATTTTTGAATTTCACCCATACTTACTCTAAAAGACGTTTTTCTATGTACGTCATATTTGTCCCTGCAACTTGGAAAGATGTAAGATCTTCCCGTTAGATCCTTTTAACACGTAAACTGCAATGATCCAGCAAGCTGAAAACGTGATAGAAACTTTTCCAGCCACATAACACAAACGTTTCCACGTACCACAGGTTTTTGCCAAATTCATAACATCTAACACTAATTCAATAATTTTTTGTAGTTTTTACCTTGGTTTCCTTTTCAATAATTTTCCGAGACACCTCTTGAATACATATGGCTCTGCCACTGCATCCACCTTCAACATAGTAAAAGGAAATAAAAATAGTGATGCACTTATATCACGTAGCTATGATCTTGGATGAAGAAACAACAAAGTTGGTGGCTATATAGTAGTTTAAACAAATGATAACATAGATAGGAGAGGGAATCAAGGTAACAGAATACTTACTAAGATCATGATGTCAATAGAAGGGGAGATTGTCCCTTGGAGAAATGATTAGGCAGTCCAAAGGACAATCTTTCTGTTGTCAAAGGGTCAATCAGATTGAACATATATATCCATTTATACATCAAGAACCATGTTAGATACTACAAGGTTTTGAGGTCACAGATAGACTTTCTATCTGTCGACACCAGGCCACCACGTCTCACTGGCGTAAATTTGTTGTCCTTCCACTTCATTTCATATGAACATATTTAATTGAGTAGGAAATTTAAAAAAAGAATAATATTCTCTGGCCATAAAATCATATTAAGAGTAAAATTAAAAATATAAAGTTAAAGCGTTACACTATATTGTATGGGGTCGAATTTGACTGATCACGTCTCTAAGCAAGCACGACCGACCGTACATACGCGAGTCTGGTTAAAAGGACGATTTGGGGATAATACGGGAGACGACCTCATGACCACGTCGGCACTTCTACAACGTGTACTTTACTTTTGTTATATAAATATTTAAATAAAGACCCTTCGCTATATAAAGGAGGTCTGAGCTGTGTAAAAAGGAGGGATTCATTATTGATAATACAAGATCTCTCTAACATTCTCTCATCTCTCTAAGATTGTCATCCTCTCCCTTTCCACCTAATTTATATTATCGCTGCTCAGATCAATTATAAAGATCATCCTAGGGTTTATTATCTTCGATTACGATTTACCCCCTCATCTATATTGATTGATTTGCTCGAAAAATATTCAATAACTTTTGAGTTAAACAATTTGGCGGCGTCTGTAGGATTTCGGTAGTCGAAATCATAGTTCACATCTAGGATATCAAGAACAACAATCACTATCCTTCAAACTCCGTAGAACTAACAAATGGCAGATAAAGAATCAAGGCTGAAGATGATAGAAGATGTCTCAACCAACCTCATAGGCCCCCTCAACGAGGCCGGCAGAGAAAATGTTGCGAACGTAACATCAAGCAGTGTTCCGGAGGAGGATATTTCACCCTCTTCACTCGAAGATCTAAAGATCTTGCGTGAAAGAGGGGCTTCAATGTCCGCAGCAAAGGAAACACCCCCAGTAGTAAAAAATCTACTAGAGGAATGGTTGACGAACACGCTAAGTGGCATGCTCGAGAAACCATCTCAGGGAAATCTTAAAGACTCATCAACGGCGGAAATCGCGGCTGCCGCCGGTGAACCAAGTGCTATACGGACAAGCAGCGCCCACACCGATATCAACGCAATCGATAATGCACTCGCAACCATTCTTAAAAAAATGGAAGAAATGGAGAACAAGAATAAAGCGCTATGTGATCAAATGAAGGAGCACCAGGAAAGGGTAGACAAAATACCTGGTGCCCCTAAGCTACTGCCAAAACGTGACGTGGGAAGATTCGTCGAGCAACCGTATAGTGAGGAAGTTGCTCCTCACCCGATCCCTAAAACCTTCAAGATGCCCCCATACTTGAGAAAATATGACGGGACCACGGATCCGGAAGATCATCTGATCCATTACGTAACCGCTGTGAAAGGCAACGACTTATTGAAAGAACAGGTGCCGTCCGTGTTGCTGAAAAAGATCGGTGAAATTTTGACAGGAGGAGCGCTAACATGGTACTCTCAACTGCTGGCCAGATCGATATCGATGTTCGAAGAGATGGCGGATAAGTTCGCCACCGCCCATGCAGGAACAAAGAAGGTGAAGCGAGGGTCAGCGATATCTTTGCAATCAGGCAAACAACGGGCGAAGGACTCAGAGACTTCCTAGCACGATTCAACAGGGTAAGAATGGGCTTGCCGAACGTATCAGAAGGAAGGGCGGTCGCTGCTTTCCAAAACGGGTTAAACAGAGATGGGTCGAAAGAGACCAAGAAGCTGCTCAATCGGCTCATGAAGTATCCCCCCACTACGTGGGAAGAGATCCACAATGCCTACTGTGCAGAAGTGAGAGCAGACGAAGACGATCTTAACGGTCCAACCCAACTACTGACATCAGTGCAATCAGAAGTCAGGAGGGATGGACATAATGACGGGCGACGGGCGACGGGAACCACTCCCACGATTCAACAGAGAAAGGCATTAGCCCTACGTCAGAGCCCTTAATCCACCCCCTCCGAGACATCCGGACGCCTTGCAACGACACGCCGCCCCGCTTCGGAATGAAAGAGGTATGCCTCCATTATTATCTGCTCATAACTTTTGTGTCTCACCTTCAGAAATAGTGTACGTACTGGAGAAGCTGGGTACGAAGGTACAATGGCCGCAGAAAATGAAATCAGATCCTGGTGCGAGGAGGTCGAACGTCATATGCAAATTCTATCAGGAAAGGGGACACAGGATCGAAGATTGCATAGGTCTACGACAGGAAGTGGTCAGAATGCTGAACCAAGGATACCTGAAGGAGCTGCTCAGCGATAAAGGGAGAGATAATTTTGCCAGGGGACGCGATCAATCCCAAGGACCGCCGAAGCCACCTTCTCCAGCACGTACCATACAGATGATCGTCGGTGGCGGCGACGACTCGACAATCAACCATGTAAAGTTCACCACCACGCACAAGTTGAAGCGCACGATCGCTCACGAACGGTATGATGACTTCGAATATAGTATCACCTTCGATAAGTCTGATGCCGACGGTTTGTCTTTCCCTCATTATGATGCTTTAGTTATAACTTTACGCATTGTTGATACTGACGTAAAAAGAATCATGGTAGACGACGAAAGCGGCGCGTGTATTATCCACCCGAGGGTCCTCATGAAAATGAGGCTCGAAGATAAGGTGAGACCACGTTGCATAACGCTGACATGTTTTAACAATGCAGTAGAGAGAACCTCCGGAGAGATATCACTACCAGTTTTGGCGGGAGGAGTCACGCTGGAAAGCACATTCCACATCATGAACCAGGAAACGGCTTACAACGTCATCATAGGACGCCCCTGGATACACGCCATGCGAGCCATCCCCTCGAGTCTCTACTAGGTAATCAAGTTTCTCACCCCGTGGGGAATATTCAGTATCCGGGGTGAGCCACGCACTGCCCAAGAATGTTACCGGATCGCCAAAGACTGCACTCATACCAAGCAGCTAAAAGGAGCAAGCACGGAAGCATAGCAATCAGCCATGTCGGGGACTAAAACCAACCCGACGACGGAAGGCATTAGGGACCCAGATTTCGTAGAAGTTTGCAAAGCGACAGTCGAGGATCTTGACTCGGTCCAGCTGGACAACACCGATAGTTGAAAAAGAGCCTACATCGGGCACAACCTCTTCGACCCAGGTAAGTACCATGAATTCTTAACTAACCATGCAGATTTATTTGCCTTCTCCCATTCAGATATGCCGGGGATCCCAAAAGACATCGCCACTCACAAGCTGAATATCGACCCACTTTATCCGCTCGTACGGCAGATAAGGAGGAAATTCAACGCCGCGATCAACGAGGTGGTCAGTGAAGAAGTGGATAAAGTACTAGCCAACGGTTCCATCAGAGAATCAAAATACCCCCAATGGGTCGCCAACGTGGTCATGGTTAGAAAGAAAAGTGGGAAATGGAGAATGTGCGTAGACTTCACCGACCTGAACAAGGCATGCCCAAAGGACTCTTTCCCATTGCCCCATATCGACCAGCTGATAGATGCGACAGCAGGGCACGAACTGCTAAGTTTCTTGGACGCCTACTATGGCTATAACTAGATCCTGATGGCCGAAGAGGACCAAGAAAAGACGACTTTCATCACCCATCAAGGGACATACTGCTACAAGGTGATGCCCTTCGGGCTCAAAAATGCGGGTGCAACGTACCAAAGGTTGGTCACCAAGATGTTCAAAGAGCAGCTCGGTAAAACAATGGAGGTCTACATCGACGACATGCTAGCGAAGTCGGCAAAGAAGGAGGACCATATCGACCATTTAAAGCAAGCCTTCGAGATACTAAGGCAGTACAGGATGAAGTTGAACCCGGAAAAATGCGCCTTCGGCATGGCCTTGGGAAAATTCCTGGGCTTTCTTGTATCACAGCGAGGTATCGAAGTCAACCCGGACCAGATCAAGGCCACAGACACGATACCCGAGATTCTGAATAGCAAGAAGCATGTATAGAAACTAACAGGGCGAATAGCCGCTTTATCCAGGTTCATCTCACGATCCTCGGACAGATGCCACAAATTCTTCAGTGTACTGAGGAAAGATCGTGGGCTGCAATGGAACGAGGAATGCATCGAAGCACTAAGGAAACTGAAGGCATATCTATCTTCGCCACCACTGCTCGACAAAGCAGATCCAGGCGAGTGCCTACTCGTGTACCTGGCGGTGTCCGAAGTCGCTGTCAGCGCCGTCTTAGTCCGCGAAAACAAAGGTACGCAATCCCCTATTTACTATATAAGCAAGACTTTCATAGATGCCGAAACGAGGTACCCACACCTCGAAAAACTGGCTTTGGCATTAGTCGTAGCTTCACGAAAGCTCAAACCTCATTTTCAATGCCACCCCATAAAGGTAATAACAACCTTCCCCATGAGAGGCATCCTATATAAACCCGAGCTCTCGGGCAGACTCACCAAATGGGCCATAGAGCTTAGCGAGCATGACATAGCCTACCACCCAAGGACCGCCATCAAGTCGCAGGTGCTCGCCGACTTTGTTGCCGACTTCAGCACAGGGATATTGCCAGAGGTGGAACAAGAGGCCCTCCGCACCTCTGCTCACATCGACCTCTGGACCCTCTACACTGACGATGCTGCGAACGCCTCGGGATCGGGACTGGGACTCGTCCTCGAAGTCCCCACTGGCGAAGTAATTCGCCAGTCCATACGATGCCCCTGGATGACTAACAACGAGGCTGAGTATGAGGCTGTGATTGCAAGCATGAAATTATCCATCAAATACGGAGCCCGTCGACTCATCCTCCACTGCGACTCTCAACTCGTCGTAAATCAAGTCACCGGGACTTGCCAAATCAAAGAGCAAAGGCTACAAAAATATCAGTCAAAAATCCATAAGCTGATGCCTGAGTTCGACGAATGTCGCTTCGAGCAAATTCCTAGAGCACAAAACGTCGAGGCAGACAACCTAGCCAAACTGGCCGCAGCCACCAAAAATATCAACAAAGAAAATGTGGTCACTCTCCTCCATTCGGCCGTCGACCACGTCGAGGTA